GTACTGGTCTACCACCTTGATCCAAGGGTGTCCCACTAAAGGTAGGGTTCCTATTTGGGGTACTGGGAAACTGGAGATGAAGATAGCTTTGGACTCCTGGCAGATGAAGAACCCAGGCTATCCCCCCTGACTACTCCCAGCATCTCCATGAAGTGCATCCAGCCTCTACATAGTCCGTCTCTCTTCCCTAGGACTCAGGGCAGCAGGTCCCAAAAAGCAGAAGCCCAAAACCTCCCAAGTGTGGCCCTGGCAGGAAACTCTCTAGGGAAGATCCAGGAGACAGCTTTGTCCCTGTCAGCCTTTCCTTTCCAAAGGCAATAAGGTGCCCAGATGGCATCCTCCAGGTGAGATCATTCCATAACTAGGAAGCAGGAAATCCCACCCTTGGGAAGAAGAAAACTGTAGTGTGATATCCCAGAGCATGGCTCTGGTGGAAGAGGGAAGATCTGGATATGTTACTGATATAGGAGGAAGAGATTTAACTCCCAAACCTACTAGATATCCAAAATGCAAGTTTGTGTTCTCTAAAATCGAAGAATGAATTCTAGGAACAACAGAGGTTAAGAGTAGGAAAAATTTATTAAGAAAGCTTCTGCCTAAGAGAGACTGAAGTGGGACTAGAAAGTGGGTTGTCTGCTCACCCCACTTTTCAAAGATGTTTTATACAGCAAAGCCATGTGGTGAGGTGGGTACAAAGTGGGACAAAACTGTGAGACCCAATGGAAATTTACAAGGTGGGCATGAGGTGGGACAAAACCATGACCAACCAATAAGATTGTAAGTACTGTCACCCAGGTAATATTGACTAAATGGGGGTCAAATGGGGGAGCAAGTCAGATAGCAAGCATTCAAGGATTTTCAGTAAGAATGGGGGTCAGGGATATTTCCTGGAGAGGTTGGGTTAAGACCTTGACCCCCACCCAGTTGATTGATACCTATTTATTTATTTATTTATTTTGTTACCAGGGATCGAACTTGGGTCCTTGTGCTTGTGCAGCAGGTGGCGAAACCACTCAGCTAAATCCCCAGCCCTTGATACCTATTTAGAATATCAATCATGGGCCAGGAATTTAGCTCAGTGGTTCCACCGCCTGCCTTGCAAGAGCAAGGTTCCAAGTTCAATCCCCGGAACAGAGAGGAGAGGAAGCACACAAAGACAATGCAGATCTTCATACTTGCTTTATCACTTCTGGTCACCTTCAGCTCAACCTCTTCTTTCTTGTGGAAAAGAAACCAGGCCTCTGGCCTCCTGGGGCTAACATCTGCATATTCTGCCACTTTTGGGGGTGCTGAGAACACAGGGTGTTGACTATGTGCTCAGCAGGAGGAAGTTTGGAGAAGTCGCTTATTTCCAAAAGAAAAAGCTCTAACTTTTAAAGTTCCATTCTCCGGTGCCTTCTACAAGGTGAGATCATTCTGGGGAGCTTGGGCATGCCCTGGGGCTGCTGGGCATGTTTACTTCCCTTTAAATGTTCTCTCCTGTCCCCAAAGCCCAGAAAGGGCTGTTAAGTGCAGAAGGAAGTTTTGTACAGTTAGCAAAGAGAGCTCAAAATTACTGCAAATGTGTTACTTTATTAGGGAGACTTTCAAACATACACAAAAATTAGAAAACTCTTATAATGAACCCTATGTACATAGCTATGCCCAACTTCAACAATTATCAACATGTTGCTTATCTTGTTTTATCTACTGACTAAAAAAAAATTGCTGGGAAAGTACTCTGATATTTTAAAGCACATCCCAAACATGGTATCAATTCATCAAAAATTAAATGTGTTAAAAATTATGAAAGTGTTATCATGGGTGATGGCAGTCTGGACAGGTTTCCAGGTTCTTATGCACAACAAACAAATAATTGGGCATGGCATACCACAGTAAGGAAAAAGCAGCAAAGTTTAATGAAGTTTAATTAGGCAATGGTAGGCTCAGAGTGAACAGGCTCATGTTGGTGGAAAGAAAAATGAGAGCACTGAATGTGTTGGGTTTAAGAATTTAAAATTATTATAGACAACTAAGTTAGGTAGAAATATTACAGGTAGTCAGACAGGAGTCAGACTCCTCGGGTGAGTCAGTGCAAAGGATGAAAACACAAATGCAGCTGGAGGCACATCTGTTGAAGGCCAGACCTCAAAATAAAGACAGAATGACCAGGCCTATGTACCTCCACAAGGGATAAGCAATATGCTATAATTGGTTATTATCTGGCCCAATAAAGTCTAGATACACATCAGTCACCTAAGTGGGTGACCAGGACCTCCTAATCCATCTCTTCCTAAAAGGGCAGATATCCTTGATCTTTCCACTTACTACGTGACCTGCTTCCCCGTTAGATCAATATCACCTAAGTAGCTATCCTTGAAATCTTATTAGTTGATCATAGTTTTAACCCATGTTGTACTTAACTCATGATTTTGCTCTATAAAACTTCCTTTGAAGAGGGGCTGGGATTTAGCTCACTGGTTCCGATGCCTGCCTTGAAAGCACAAGGACCCAAGTTCAATCTCTGGGACCAAAAAAAAAAATTCCTTTGAGAAGTGTCACCTCACTGGCACCCCACTTTCAGGTCCTCTCCTGTCTCTCAGGAGCTATCTCTCTACCTCTCAATAAAATTCTCCTACTCTTAACCTGTCGTGCCTTAGAATTCATTCTTCAATTTTGAGGAACATAAACTCAGTGTATCTGACATCCAGCAGGTTGGGAATTACATTTATTCCCTCTATATCTTTTTCTTTTTTTTTTTCTGGTACTGGGGATTGAACTCAGGACCTTGCACTTGCCAGGCAGGCACAGTGCCACTGAGCTACATCCCCAGCCTATTCCCTCTATATCAAAATGATAGCTGGGTGTGGTGGTGCATGCCTGTAATCCCAGCACTCAGAAGGCTGAGGCAGGGAGAACCTTGAGAGTTTGAGACCAGCCTAGGCTATATAGTGAGTTCAAGTCAAGCATGGACTACATAGCAAGACCTTGTCTCAAAAATAAATACATAAATAAATAAGAAGTTTAAATGTTATACCAGATCTAGGGCACCTCCCATTAGGTTTCCCATAATTCACCCTTCTTTTTTTATTTTTTTTGGTATTGGGGATCGAACTCAGGACCTTGCACTTTCAAAGCAGGCAGTAGCACCACTAAGCTAAATCCCAGGCCCTAACTCACTCTTATAATTAAATTATACATGAAGCTTTAGTCAGCTCCAAGCAAAGAAAGTTATTGTTGATAGAGAAAATTTAAACTATAGGTTAGTTATTAAGGTAGCTGAAGTAGAATAAGTAATAGGTTCCTTTAAGATTTACCTTTCCCGTAACTCTTATTGTTTTTGGGGGGTTTTTTTGGTACCAGGGATCAAACTCGGGTCCTTGCACTTGCGAGGCAGGTGACGGAACCACTGGGCTAAATCCCCGGCCCTCCTTAACTCTTATTGTTTAAGGTGATGGCTAACTGAAGCTTTGACCTGTAACCTAACTGTAGATAACATTTAACCTGGAGAAAAGCAAAGTAGAAATGTTTGGGTAGTTTACAATGTATGTGTTTTAGCTGCCATCTGTTTGTTATATGTCTGTGACTATAACCATTAACAGGAACTAGTTGTAAAAGAGAAATAGAAATTTTACTAAGACCACCAGGAATGAGGTAATGGCTAAAAGAAGATATAAAAGGAAATGTTAAAACAAAGGACGGGCAGACATTGATCAGACAAGTTTCTGGCAGTCCCCCTCGCTAGTGAGTAAAGGCTTTTTTTTTTACCCAACTTCTGTGTCTCTGTACATTTCTTTCCGTGATTCCAGAACATTGTAGGTCACTATGGCTGTCTGGCACACATGCATCCTAGTTTGGGACTTTGGAATTTTCCAGGGGTTTTTGTCTTTTTCCTCTCTCCCCCCACATAGCAGACCTTAGTGAAGGGGATATAGTCCCATTGCCCCAATTATACTATCATACGGGAAGGCAATTGTTTGGGGCTCAACTTCTCCACTAAGCCCCAAGAGACCAGACCAAACCAAAATGGAGTTGTCAGCTGCTAAACAGGAACTTCAAGGAGCTCCTGGGGGAAGAAGCTGCCTTTTTATTTTTTTTAATGTGATTTCCTTTATTTAAAACCAATCCCTTATCTTTCAGAATTGTCAGTAGTCAAGTTAAAAGAATGTAAGAAATTTCTTTCTCCTGTCTCATTACCCATATTTAAAACTTGAAAACAATTTCTAATGTGACCATCAATTTTGTCATTGAGAATCATTTGAATTTCTATTTGACTCATTTCCACAAATTACAAAGTATATCAGATTACAAAGATTTGCCCTCCAATAAATACTCACAGGTATCATAAGACTACTTTTAAAGTTACAAAAGAGACGAAAAGTTTGACATAAGCATCATCTCTCTAAAGAAAGAAATACATAATATAAAATGTGTCATCTCTATCTCTTATTATTAAGAAGTCACAGCACTTAATAGCTATCACATGTTTTCATTTTTAAAATACTTATTTTAAGGAAATGCCAAGGCAAAAGAAGCTGCCTTTTTTTTTTTTTTTTTTTTTTGGTATCAGGGATCGAACTTGGGTCCTTTCACTTGCGCAGCAGGCAACAAAACCACTGAGCTAAATCCCTGGCCCCAAAGCTGCCTTTTTAACTGACTGCCAACATCCCTTCAATGTTGTTTTTCTAGTTCAGATAAGGCCCTCCAGAGAAAACCACAAAAACCGGGTTCAGCCCAGCCAAAACATGACAGGCCCCCTTCTAGGTGACCTAGTGCAGACACTACTCATTACAATCTCATTATAATGCTAAATTCTCCACCTTCTTATGGTCTGAAACCTATGAACGAGCCTGACCTGGAACTGGGCATGGGCGGGAGACGCCCACAAAACTGAGTCCCTGCCTTGGTGTCATCCTGTGCTGTCCTTAACCTGCTGTAAGTAACTTATCGCTCTTTCATCTCCTGGCTGTGCTCTTTGGCTTTGCTAAATGCCACATAATCAAACAGAAGTGTTAAGGAAGCAGATAGATGCCAAAACAGATCCGGTTTTCTTGAAAACAGGAGATTCTGGTTTACCTGTCCAAATAACAGTAAGGTCCCTCTCCTTTAACTCTCACCCTAAAAAAAAAAAAAAAGGTAACTAAAGTAACCTATGTCAACCAATCCATTTTTTCCCTATTGTTCCATTTCCTTGTTCCTGCTTTACAAAACCGGCTGTTCCGCCCTTCCCGGGTGCGGGGGCTCCCGTTCTATTTTGTAGAATGGAAGCAGCCCCATTCCAGGAATCGCTCACAAAAGCCAACTAGATCTATAACTCCTTGTGCTGTCGGTTTGTACTGACAAACGCTACTAATTAAATGGTATTTGGATTATCAGACACACGTCAGTCCCGGCGTGCAAACACACAAGCTACACTTTTGAGCCACCAGGTGGAGACCCCCAAGTCTAGCCCATTCCCTGCGTCGGCAGTGAAGAGGACTGGCCCGCCCAACGTTGGAGCTACAGCGGAACCAGAGACGAGTAGGTCCTCCCGGCTGCCTAGTGAGTCAGGGACCCTCGGATGGCGACTTTCCCTAGGGCTGGTCCTGGGAGAGGGCGGGGAGCGGCCCAATCCGAAGGCTCAGCGCGGCACTTCTGGGAGCGCTGGCGGGGGTTGGCGGGCCTAGGATGCAGCCAGGTCCCAGGCAGTGCCAACGGCGGTAACGGAATCGAGGCGTCTGGGAGGGAGATGGGAGCGGGGATGGCTTTGAGGGGAGAGAAGACCCCGCCTGGCTGGCGCGGGGCCGGGGCCAGGAAGTCGCCCGGGGCCCGGCAGGTGCGGTGGGGTGGCGTCCAGGGAATGGGGAGAGATGAGTGCAGATTCGGGCATCGGCACCGCGCCCGGAGGGACGGCTTTTCCTGCAAGAGGAAGGGACCCCAGGAAAGGGGTGCTCCCCGAGCTCGGGTCCCAGCTTTCGCAGGTCTAGAACGCGGGGACGGGCGCGCCGAGCGGGATCTGGGGGCGGCGGCGTGGCCTCCGGCCTCTGGGAGCGCTGCCTGGGGCTCGGCTAGGCAGAGGCCCGTGGGCGGAGAAAATCTCTGGCGCTGAGCTGGGGACCGCGACTACGTCTGGAAGAGTGGCTCGGCCTGGTGGAGGAACGCGGGGCTGGTAAGGGGTCTCGAGGAGCAGGGGGGCGTAGAGGTGGTGCCAAAGTTCCAGGGCGCTCCTCGGATTCCGCGAGAAGATGGGACCGCGCCTAGCCTAGGAGGTGGGGACGGAGCCTCTGGAGCAGCCGGCTAGGGGGGGCGGGGAGGACGAAGGAGCCCCTCCTCGAAGCGGGCGAGGCTTGGGGCTGAAGGAGCCCCTCCTCGAAGCGGGCGAGGCTTGAGCGCCCCTCACTCGCAGCGGGCGGCCCAGCGCGCAGGGCGGGGGGGCACTGGCGCGAAAGCGCAGACTCGAACCGGCCCGGTGCTCCCGGGCTGTGGCTTTAAGGCCGGCTTCGGGCGCGCGGGCCCTTTAAGGCGGGGTCGGGGGCGTGTCAGGAAATGAGCTGTGGCTCCGCCCCGCCCGGGAGGCGGCCTCGGAGGTCCGGAGGCTGCGGACCGAGTCCAAGTCCGGATGGTGGCCTCGCGCCCGGCCCGGCCCGCGCCCCTGGCCTCCGCCCGGAGCCCCTCTGACCACCCTGCGCCCCTTCCGTCTCCCGGCGGCTCCCCGCGCGCCGCCGCCCCGTCCTCGCCCCTTCCCCGCCCCACCCCAGTCTTCTCCCCTCCTTTCTCCCTGCCCCTCGTCCCTGCTAGGCCCCAGCCCCTGGTCCCCGCTGGGTCACCGCCGTAGGCCGCCTTGTCCTTCCCTCCTTCCGCTCTGCTCTCATGCGCGCCCTCGGGGAGGAAGCGGGCTGTGGAGCAGCCCTGCTGGGCTCACCCCAAAGCAGAACTTCATCCAACAGGAAGAGGGGCACTTAGGCCACCCCCTCTTGGGCTGCGCCTGCCCTGTCCCCCGGGGAGTACGTTCCGGCCGTGGGGTGACCCGGCTCCTCTGCTGCCATGAATAGGGCGCCCCTCAAGCGGTCCAGGATTCTGCACATGGCGCTGACCGGAGCCTCCGACCCCTCCGGAGAGGCCGAGGCGGGCAGCGGGGAGAAGCCCTTCCTGCTGCGGGCCGTGCAGATCGCGCTGGTGGTTTCTCTCTACTGGGTCACGTCCATCTCCATGGTGTTCCTCAACAAGTACCTGCTGGACAGCCCCTCCCTGCAGCTGGACACCCCCATCTTTGTCACCTTCTACCAGTGCCTGGTGACCGTGCTGCTGTGCAAGAGCCTCAGCGCCCTGGCCACCTGCTGCCCGGGCACCGTGGACTTCCCCGCCCTGCGCCTGGACCTCAAGGTGGCCCGCGGCGTTCTGCCGCTGTCCGTGGTCTTCATTGGCATGATCACCTTCAATAACCTCTGCCTCAAGTACGTCGGCGTGGCCTTCTACAACGTGGGCCGCTCGCTCACCACCGTCTTCAACGTGCTGCTCTCCTACCTGCTGCTCAAGCAGACCACTTCCTTCTATGCCCTGCTCACCTGCGGCGTCATCATCGGTGAGTGGTCACCGGGCTTCGGGGACCGGGTGGGACGGGGTGGGCCTGGAGGCTGAAACCCTAAGGAACAACCAACCCTTCCAGGCATCTTTGGACTTGTCTGTCCCATCTTCTTTGGTTCAACAGTCATTCAAAGAAAAGCCTGGGGCCCAGAGAGACCGAATAACCAGCAGGTTAGGAACTCAGCCAGGGCAAAAATAATAATAATAATAATTAATAATAGCAACAGCTACAGTATAAGATGCTGACGTTGATTATTTAAAACGAGCCAGGCACCCATAGCTAAGCAAGTTACCATGTTAATGTTACTAATCATAAGAACATGGGCTTGCCATCTACAATTTACAAAGTGAAAACCAAGGCCCTAGAGGTTGAGTAACTTGTCCAAGATCACACAGCTCATCACTAGCTGAGCTGGGATCTGAACTCAAGCCATCTCACTCTGTAGGTCGCTCACTTGACCACCGTTCTGTGTTGCTTCTCAAGAGTCCAAGTTGCCTGTCCAGCTAGTGCATCTTTCAGTGAATCCATCAGCGCTCTCTGGCCTTGCTGGCTCAGAGTAAAACCTGAGACCATGGCCTTAGCTGTTACCCCAGACTTACCCATCAGAAAATAAGAATTATTGAGGAGGACATTGTGGTAATATCTCACATAGAACATCTTTGTCCAGATAAACTGAGGCTCAGAGAGATTAAGTGACTCGCCCAGGGCCACACGGCTAAACCCAGATTGGCCAGACTCCAGGCCTGGACCTCTAACCACTGTGTTCTTATCCAGCCAGGGTTATTAGAGTTCCACTGTCCAATACACTGGCCATGTGCATATTTAGATTAATTACAGCTAAATGCAATTTTAAGGGCCCAGTTTCTCAGCTGCAGGTGTTATAACCTGATTCCGCCACCACGTTTCAGGTGCTCAGCACAGGTTACAGAACCTGTCCGTCGTTGCAGAAGAACACTTGGCAGCACACTGGGTTAGATCGCCAGGAGTGCTCCATTCCCTCCACCCTCCTGGCCCTGCCCCCAAGGAATGTGATCTCTATTTGCACCTGCTCAGACTTCCCAGTACCATGAAGTTTGTCTTACGTGTCCTACATATTCTCCCTGGTGTCTCAGAGTGCCAGGCTCAATGCTCAGTTGAGGGAAAAGGGCCCGTCCGGGACATCTGTCCTAGAAAACATTTCCCCTCTTCAGCAGCTGCTCCATCTAGGGCTGCTCAGTCTTAGGCCCAGAGGGGACTAGAGAGAAGGCCTGGGTAGAGTGGGAGGGGCTGCTGCTCCCCCCTCCCCTGGGAAGCTGCTCACCTCACTTCCTCTCTGCCCTCCCGGAGGCCAGCATTTCCACTTCAGTCCTGGTGGGAGAATTGCATGTGAGAATGTGAACCCACTAGGGATACTAAGCCCAAGCCCAAAAATACCCCACATACCTGATGGGGAGCTAGCTTCTGGGCCAGGCCTGGGAGGCAGTGGTCTGGGTTGCCCCAAGACCAGGCCCCTTCCGAGCAGTGTCCCCTTCCTTCCTCCTTGTGTGCTGTGTCCTGTGGTACTGTTCAGAGATCCCTCTGGCTGAGAGGCCCTCTAGGGTTTGGCACCTTGAGCCTGAGGTCCCTTCTGGACTCAGCTGGGTGCTGTGGCTAAAGTAGGGTGTGCAAGGGCTCTGGGAGGACAGAGGGAGGTGCTGCATGCTGAGTGCCCAGAGTACAGTAGATGCCTTACCTCCTTCTGAGACAGGGTCTCACTATGCTGCCCAGGCTGGCCTGAACTCCTGGGCTCAAGTGATCCTCCTGCCTCAGCCTCTGGAGCAGTTGATACTATAGGTACACACCACCACATCCAGCTTCTTGTCTCCTTTATTATTTCAACCACCTCCAGAACAACGCTCATTCATTCATTCATTCAGTCATTCACCAGCTGTTAATTGAGGGCTAAGCACTTGCCAGGCCCTGTGCCAGGCTTTGGGGATACAAGCTTTGAAAAGGATACAAGCTCCTACAGCCCTGGAGGGCATGCTGATGGGGTACAGCAGTGACAGGTACACCAGAGGAATAAAGGCTGTGACCAGAAGGTGCTGTGGGAACGCTGGAGGGACAGGCAATCTAGCCGCCCTTTCCAGAGTGAGTGCCATGTAGATGTGGAGGGTGAAGTGGGAAGAGGAGGTTCCAGGTGGAAGGAAGGACACGCGCACTTCTCCATGCTGGGCCGCAACAAGCCTCACGGTCAGGCTGCCCGGTGGACTCCACACAGAGAGGCCACGTGAGCCCTGTCGAATGGGTCGAATTTTTCCTAAGGGAATGAGGAGCCACAACGAGGCTGTCCACCAGGCCTGAAGCTGAGAGGAAGAGCATTTGGCTGCAAGCTGTGGAGTAGATTGATTAGTGTGTGCATCAAGAAAGTAGCCCAGGGCCAGGGATTTAGCTCAGTGGTTTCGACGCCTGCCTAGCAAGCTCAAGGACCCGAGTTTGATCCCCAGTACCAAAAAAAAAGAAAAGAAAAAGAAAGTAGCCCAGAGAGCCGGTGATTTAGCTCAGTAGCTCCAGTGCCTGCCTCGAAAGCGCAAGGTCCCTAGTTTGATCCCCAGTACCAAAAAAAAGAAAGTAGCCCAGGGCTGAGGATTTAGATCAGTGGCACCCGCACCTGCCTTGCAAGTGCAAGGACCCAAGTTTGATCCCCAATACTGAAAAATTTTTTTAAAACAATAAAAGAAAGTAGCCCAGAACTTTACAGATGAAGTAAACTGGAGCTCAGAGAGGTTTAGTAATTTCTCCCAGGCCGCTCAGCTTATAAACTGCAGAGCTCAACTGGGGACCAAATCCCTCTGACACCAAGCTTTTCCCACTACCCCATATTGCTGGACCTATGGCTGGAGGTGTGATGGGTAAAATTCAGCTCCTGCCTTCTGGGATACCAGAACTATCACCACGGACAGGAGCCTTACAGACCAGGGCTGGCAAGGGGTTCCATGGGAAGCACAGGCAGTGAGAGTCCAGGAAGAGGTTACCAGGAAAGGATTCCCCGGGAGAGATCAGCTTTGATGCTGAAGAATGAGCAGAAACCTCCTGCAAAGGTGAACGGTGTTTCCTGTTGCAGATAGGAGCAAGGACACTGACCCCCAGGGTGAGAAGGAGGGAGATTATCAGGGGATGGTGGCACCTGGCTATAATCCCAGCACTGGGGGAGGCTGAGTCAGGAGGATCACAGTAAATTCAAGGCCAGCCTGAGCTATGTAGTGAATCCAAGCTCAGCTTGAACTATATAGCAAGACCCTGCCTAAAAAAAAAAAAGCAGTGAAAGTAGAGGGTGCCTTGGGGGTTATCACAAGACAGAGAAAGGGTGGCAAAGGTACAGGGAGTCCGGTGTGCCAGGCAAGGCCAGAATGTAGACTTGCCAGCAGGCAGTGGAGAATCATGGGGCTCCTTGAGCAGGATGTGACCCAAGAGTAGGGTCCAAGGCCACAAGGGAGTCTAATTTAATGCCCCCTTGATGACATCTATGGGAGAAGCCAAGGCTTAGAGACCCTGTCACTTGCCCAAGGTGACTTTCACCGATGTCACTCATCCTGCAGAACAGTCACCTCCCAGGCGCCCCAGGCCAGCACAGCAGCCTGTGCTATTTTCTGGCATTCATTACAGTGAGTACAATTGTAATCAGACTAGTCTCGGGAAGTGGTTTGACGGGATGTCTTCCCTCTGCTGGAATACAGGCTGGACAGGATGTGGGTGGGCAGTGCACTGGCTGTGAACTCTGGTGTCATGATCTGTCCCTCTCCCTCCCTGTCCCTGTCTCCCTTCTCCCTGCTGCAGGTGGCTTCTGGCTGGGTGTGGACCAGGAGGGGGCCGAGGGGACTCTGTCTCTGATGGGCACCATCTTTGGGGTGCTGGCCAGCCTGTGTGTGTCGCTCAACGCCATCTATACCAAGAAAGTGCTCCCGGCCGTGGACGGCAGCATCTGGCGCCTGACCTTCTACAACAACATCAACGCCTGCATCCTCTTCCTGCCGCTGCTCCTGCTGCTCGGGGAGCTCCGGACCCTCTGGGACTTTGCCCAGCTGGGCAGTGCCGATTTCTGGGGGATGATGACGCTGGGTGGCCTGTTCGGCTTCGCCATCGGCTATGTGGCAGGACTGCAGATCAAATTCACCAGCCCGCTGACCCACAACGTGTCGGGCACGGCTAAGGCCTGTGCCCAGACGGTGCTGGCCGTCCTGTACTACGAGGAGACCAAGAGCTTCCTGTGGTGGACGAGCAACTTCATGGTGCTGGGTGGCTCCTCTGCCTACACCTGGGTCCGGGGCTGGGAGATGAAGAAGCTTCAGGAGGACCCCAGCCCCAAAGAGGACGAGAAGAGCACCGTGGGGGTGTGAGCTCCCTCGGGACTGGGGAGGCCCCAGGTGGCGCTGTCCCTGTGGCCAGAGGGTGGCGTGGCAGTCGGCATTGTTTTCAGACCTGATGGGGAACGGGTGTTTGAAAGGAATGTTAGGGGGCTGCCAAACCTGTCTGTATCCCGGCCTCTTTCTGGAATACTCCACTGGGCAGAGCACCCCTCTGGCCCCTCCCAGGGCCTCTCTACCTCCACTTCACCTCCGGGGTTGGGCCAGCCTTCACTTATACTCAGGGGACACGGGGTGTGACCCCATCGCAGCCGGCCTAAGGGGCCTGGGCAGGCAGCGCAGCTTTGGTCCCAGCCTGCTTTTGGGGGGAAGTGTGGTCGACTGGAGGAGGAGACAGACCAGTGTCCCCTCTTCTCTCCCTGACACAGTAGGGCCGTGGAAGAGGATTAGAGTCCCTTGCGCCCATGACTGACCCCGGACCCACGGTGGCGGCTGGGAATGGAGTAGATGAAAGCACCCATCCTCCGTATCCCATGTTTGCAGTTTCAGAACATGGAGGAACCACACATCTTACAGGTTGAGCAGGGTCATAAACCCCGCCCTCCATTCCTGACCCTGTGATCCTGACCCTGTGACTCTGCCGCCCGCTCCGGTCTCCCAGGTCCTGACACAGCTGCCCAGCTCAGGTACCACTCACTGAAAGTGCAGCCGGGGAGCCAGTTCTCCCCACTCTGCCTCCCCGAGAGCCTCCATCCTGGGTGCTCAGCCTCCCACTCCTGATTCTGAGCCTCTTCCGTGATGAAGTGATAAACACATTTCCCTTCCTCCCTGAAGTTGGAGCTGAAAGAAACTGCTTATCCCAAGCCTTAGTCCCTCACACATGGGGCTGATTGGACCAGAAGCTGGGTTCTCACAGCCCTGGAGGCTGCAAGTCCAAGCTCAAGGCCCAGCCGACTCAGTGTCCCTGGCACCTGGCGGGGTCTTCTCTGAGTCCGCAGTGGTAGAAGCACAAACCCTACCCTCAGGCTTTTTCTAGAAGACCAGGAACCTATTCATGAGGCTCCACCTCTGCCAGCACCTTCTCAAGGGTGAGGACTCCAAAGTGAATTTTGGGGTGACACATTCAGGCCACAGCACCTGTTTGTCAGCCTCTGCCCCTCACCGTGGCTTTCACTCAGCCGTCCCTTCTGTTGGATGTTTTGTACCTCCCATCTTGGGGTGGTTTCTGATGTTTTTCATCCCAGTAGTAAACGCTGGGCAGAGTGGATCTTTCCCAGCCCCTCCTTCCTGCCCCCACAACCCAAGGTGGTTTCGGTGAAGTCACTGGGGCCTGATTCCCTGAGCTGTGTCTGATTTAATAAAAAGCCGGAGGAAGACCCTGTGTGTGTGGACTGAGTGAGGGGTCGCAGGGATGGGAAGGGACTTTGGGGAGAAGCTGGGGGTCTGTGCAGGGTGGGAACACTGGGCCTTACCCTCTCCGGGCCGGACTGTGAACTGGCAGCCTGCCCGGGAGCTGGGATCTCTTAGGACACCGGCTCCATCAAATCCAGGCCTGCTTCCGGGAGCTGAGCGGCCCCTTCCTGTCTTCCTGGGGTGCTTCCTGAGGACACTGCTGAGTGCTGAACCTCGTTGTTCCTCACAGCCTCCCACACCTCGTGAGGTGGGGCTGCGACTGGTCATCCGTTTTACAGAAGATGACACTGAAGTGCACAGGGAACCACGGGAAAGAAGGGAGGCGACTGAACTCAGAGGTCTCAACTTTCCACGGTGCCCTTCATGGGACCCAGTGTTCTTTTGAGCACCTGTGTGCCAGGCGCTGTGGCAGGCTGTATTACTATAAAGCCCCATCTATGGGATCTTGGAATCCAGGCTGACCTTGGGACTTGCTCTGACCAATAGAATGCAGAAGAAATACCATTCAGAACCTCCAGTTCTCCCATGAGCCATCTGGAGAGCATGACACAGCCACAGGAAGCAGCCACGAGGAAGAGAATCATGACATGTGACCATCCAGATAAAGGCAGCCACATGAGTGTCCCCAGGTAAGGCCACCAGCAGAACTATCCCACCAACCTACAGAATCTGGAGAAATTGTAACTTGTTCCAAGTCTCTAAACTTGGGGGAAACATGTTCAAAAAATGTTTGTCATCAAAGTTGTCCAAGCCTCTTATTTTGCAGCTGAGAAGGCAAAGCCCCAGAAAGGTTAAAGGAGGTCACAGGGCAAATTAGTGGCTGAGCCTACAGCAGAACATGTGCCTCCTGATCCTAATCCAAGATGCTTTCTGCTTGTTCAAGGTCATGCAGCTGATTGGCTGTTAAGTAATTTTTTTAATTAAGCAAGCACAAACTTTACCAGCTGTTAGGCAGTATTGGAAGTGCTTTACAAATAATATTTTATTTAATGCTTATAACAAGCTTATGTGATATGAGTACTTTGCCATGTCTCAGCTCACAGATGAGAAACTGAGGCACAGAAATGTTGAATAATTTGTCCAAATCACACAGCTAGTAAGTGGCAGAACTAGGAGTCAAATCCAGTTAGTCTGGTTCTCAACCATAAAACCACGCTGCTTCTCTAGGAAAGAAATTTATTACTTTTGGGTTATCATAACAATCCCACAATGTAAGGAAAGGTGAGAGTTTCTAGGGATGAAAGAGCTGGGCGTGGGGACGCACACCTGTAATCTCACCACCACTTGGGAGGCTGAGGCAGGAGGATTGCTGTGAGTTCAAGGCCAGCCTGAACTATATAGCGCAACCCTGTCTCAAAAAAAATCCTAAGGTTGAAGTCAAAAGATCCAGCCCAGGGCCAGGGATTTAGCTCAGTGGTGCTGCGCCTGCCTCTGCTGCCTGTCTCGCAAGCGCAAGGTCCCGAGCTCAATCCCCGGCACACAAAAAAAAAGATCCAGCCCAAAGCATGCACTGCTGTGTGGGCTTAGCCAAATCAATAACCTCTTAAGGAGTCAACAAACATGAAACCTAGAAAATTGTGTCCCCAAAAACCCCATGTCTTGACCTGTGAATTAATGACAAAATAGTATTCAGCTGCCTGATTTGTTTCCCACAATACTACACAGGTAGAGAAGCTGCCTGCAATGGCTTGAATGTGTCCGCCAAAATTCACGCATGGCAGATTTCATTCCCCATGCACTAGTGCTAGGAAGAGGGGCCTACTGGGAACTGTTTCAGCCAAGAGGGTCCCACACTCATTAGAAGGGATAAGGTCATTATCGTAGGAGTTTGTCCATTATTTTTGCAAATAGATATTTGTGTGTGTGTGTGGTACTGAGGATTGAACCCATGGCGCCTTCACACTGAGCTATATCCTAGCCCTTTCTACATTTTTTTTTAGATTAAAATTATTTTATTTTAGGGTCTCGGTCACTAAGATACCCAGACTGGGCTCAGATTTACCATCCTCCTGGCCCAGCCTCCCAGAGTGCCGAGGTGACAGGCTGTGGGAGCAGATTTCTTACAAAAGCAGATATGGGCCCCCTTGGGCTCTCTCCCTTGCCTCTGTCTGTCTCTTGGGCTGATGCAGTGAGAAGGCCCTCCCACAGGCTGGCCCCTTGGCCTTGAACGCCCAGCCCTGAGAACTGTGAGAAAGAAGCCTCTGCCCTGTATTAATCGCCCAGCCTCGGTTATTCTGCTACAGCAACACCAACAGAGAAGGCTGCTGCCCTCCCTGGTGCAGCCCTCACCCCACAGTGCACCTTGGCTTCCGTGAAGGGGCTAAATTTAGGACCTGAAAGCTAACTGGGACCTGAAATAGGGACACAGAGTGTGCTGTGTGGAAGCAGCCAGCCCAAGTGCGCGGCAAGCTTAGGAGGCTGTGCACAGGTGTGGGCCGAGCGGGGAAGGAGGGGCACAGTGGAGGCCATGGCAAGCTGTCCCTGACCACCAGTCTGAGCCTCACAGAGCCAAGGTCACAGTGTGATGGGGCAGAACCGGGACCACAGTCACCCAGAACCTCCTCCCAGGCCAGTCCCTTTCCACTGAGCATAGCAACAATAATAATTTACTAATAATTAGCAATAATCGCGCCTCGGATAAACCTCATTGGCTATGATACTGCCACTGCACAAAGCTGAATAATTTACTAATAATTAATAATTACTGGCTGGGTGTGGTAGCACTCACCTATAATCCCAGCTGTCCGGGGCTGAGGCAGGTGGATTTCCATGAGTTCAAGGCCAGCTTGAGCTACATAGTGAGTTCAAAGACTACACAGCAAGACCCTATCTCAAAAAAATGAAGAAGAATAATAAAAATAATTACTATCATTAGCAGTGGGACACTTTGTTGAGTACTCACCACGAGCCAGGTGCAACTGTCAGCACTTGCCAAAAAGATTCTCATCCAAAACAGGAAACCACAGCACAATGACACTAGCACACAGAATGGGTTCCCTCCCCGCACCCTGAGACCCTGAATACACAAACAGGTAATGGGCAGGCCAACAGGTACAACAGATCCGTGACACACAACCTTTGCGACCTGCAGGCCTGCAGCAGTGGCCTTCGGCATTGGCCCAGAACAGCTAGAATTTGGGCAGTGACTAAGTTCCTGTCCCCCACCCACTGTCACCACTTCCAAGCCCCCCATGATAGCACCCCAAAGCCTGCCTGCTCCTTTACCGGCTCAGAATCTCTATAAGTGACAGTGGCCAAATATCTTTATAAGGGCTTTGAGTAGTCGGTCTTTGTGGGTTCCCATTTAGGTGGCAAATAAAAGCCAGAGAGCCCAGCAAAAGGGCCAGAATTCCAAATCTCCAAAACCCTGCTGGGCCTGGCCCAGTCTACACCTCTGGCTATCAATTTCAGCCTCAGCCCTTAGAGCCAGCTGACCCTCAGTTGGAATCTGCAAGTCAGATTTCTACCAGGATAGCAAATAATCAGCTTACAAAGGGAAAAGGTATATTTTGGCTCACAGTTTTGGAGATTTTGGTCCATGATCTGTTGACTCCATTGTTTTGGGGCTTGTGGCCAGGCAGCACATTATGACAGGCAAAAAACCCCTCAGACCCAGGGAGCAAAAGGGAGCAGGAGCTGGGATCCCACAGTCCCCTTCAGGGCCACACCCTCCATGACCTAAAGGCTTCCCGCTAGGCCCCACCCCCTTAAAGGTTCCACCATTCCTAATAGCGGCTCCTACACACGGGCCTCTGGGAGACCTTTAAGAGTCATGCCATAGCAGAATCTCAGCTCTGTTGGCTGGGTAACTTTGCAGGAGCAAAATCACACTGCTTTGGCCTCAGTTTTCCAGCCACTTCCTAGCTGTGTGACCACCACAGGAAGTGACTTGACACCTCTCACCCTGGTTGGCTAGTCTCTAATAAAACTTTATTTACAAAACAGGTGGCAATAGACAAACCTTGACAAACATTATGCTGAGTGAAGACAGCAGGTAAAGAACAGGCCACAAGTATATAAGTCCACCCATAAGAAATGTCCAGAACTGGCAAATCTCTAGAGACAGAAAAGACAAGTGGTCACTAGGATTACGGGTGGAAGATGAAGGAAGAGCCTCTATAATTAGATTGTGGGGGTGGTTATGAAACTTTAGGATTATAATAAAAAGCACTGAATAAAATAGGTACATTTTGGGGCATAAAAGTTCTCTCAAGAGTTGGCACAGTGCCACACACCTATAATCCCAGCACTCAGAAGGCTGAGGCAGGAGGGTTGGCACAAATTCAAGGCCAGCCTGGGCTACATAGGAAGTTCAAGTTCAGCCTGAACTATATAGCAAGATACTGTCTCAACCTGCCCCCAGAAAGAATAATAATAATAATAATAAAGTATGTCTTAATAAAGATGTTTAAAAAGAAAGGTACACCAATGCTCCCAGCAGCACTGTTCACAACAGCCAAAAAGTGGAACCACTTTTTGGTCAACAGATGAACAGATAAACAAAATGTGGTCTACACATGCAACAGAACACGGTCCTGCATCACTAAATGATGGGACACATTGTGAGAAACGCACGGAGAGGTGATCTCATCACTGTACAAACATCAGAGTGTGTGTAGCTCAACTCTGGATGGCGTGGGTCGCTCATTCGACGTGGCCTCTTAATGTTGTCAGGGGGAACAGGAGATGGAGGGAGGGTAGGGAAAGGGACGTAAAAAGAATGACGATGTGTTATGCACAGCCCCCAACCCCCACGATGTATGTAATCAATACGTACCACAAACCTGCACCAATAAACATTTTTTTAAAAGGATTTGACAAACATGAGATGCTTGGGCTGCTGCCAGTCACAGGCCCACTGTCCCATGCAAACGTGTCTTCTTAGTAAGGAGGAATGCACTCTAAAATAACGATAAAAGCTATAGCAAGTTAGCAAACTAGCAACATGGCCATTTATGGTCAT